AATCATACATACCCCAAATATACTCCGAAATGCGGTTTTGGAGAAAGCACAAAACATACTCCCAAAAAACACCTGAATGGTAAACAAGATACTAGAACATCGTCCCCCGACTATTTATGGACTACTTCTGAATAGTCCTCCTGTAACAAGAGGGACGCGCCCGACTAAAGGCTGCTGAAGGGCGGCGATGTTGAAACAGTGGGTGGGGCGATTCGAGCGAAGTCTCTGCAAACTTGATGGGCCTGTTTTGCACGACCTCCACCACCATAAGTTGGAGGGGGAGGTCCTCCTCCTCCTACTCCTCCTCCTCCTCCTCCTCCCTTTCCTCCTCCTCCTTCCCCCTCCAACTTATGGTGGTGGTGATGGAAAACAGGCCCATCAAAACTTGTTGCGCCACGGCGTGCCAGGGAGCTTTGCCGACGGAGCGGCGCCGATTCGGATGGATTGCACCCGGGGCATGCTGGGCAGGCGAAGGAAGCGACGATGGCTGACGATTCGGAGCGGCTGGGGCCGGCAATTTCAGCCATGTTTGCGAGGTGTGGGGTGGGTGGGGGGGGGCATTGCACGTTTTCACCTGCACGAAGGAGCCCAGTGGCACGACAAACGACGGACGAGACGACAGACACCAGACGAAAACGGCACGAGGGCGCGCGAGGGGAGGGAGGGAGATGGGGGAGGGAGGGAGGGCAGGCAGAGGACGCCCGCGCCCGGCGCAGCCCGGCGCGGCCCGAGCCCGGCGCAGCCCGGCGGGGTGGTGGTGAACTGCACGCCCCACGGCTGACCTTTCTTGGCGGCGCGCAAAAGGGGGTAGGGGGAGGGGGGAAGGCTTCTTAGAAGCACCCCTGCTTCTCAGGAGGCCTAGGCCTCAGGTCTATATAGAGCAGGCCCGCGCCTTCTGAGAAGCAGGGGTGCTTCTAAGAAGCCTTCCCCCCTCCCCCTGCCCTCCTCTGCACATTGCCGACTGTCCTCGAAGCGGCAAGAGAAGGGCGACGTTTGGCTGCCGCGCCCCGCGCGGCAGACAGCAGAGGCCGGTCGCAGCTCGGGCCACTGGGCAGGTGGCTGAAGCATAGGCGTGGGGCCTCGGGCCGCGGGCCTCCCGGTGGCAGCTGCAGCGGGTGTAGATGCTATGCCCGCTGCGGAACGCGGGCCCGCGGCGACCCATCCCGCGCGAGCCTGGGAGAGGCGCAAAGGGGGACAATAAAAACCTCTTTCCACGCTCCCGTTTTTTTTTTTGATTTCCCGCCCTCGGCGATTGGAAACAGGGGCACAGGGGGGAATGGGTGATACCCTGAACCGCCAACCTGTATTGAACCTTGACGCATCATTGCACGTGTTATCCTATGTCTTAGCCTTTCTATGTTTTTGCATAGAAAGGTGGGGCGGGATTCTTTGCAAAACGCGGTCTCGCCTGATCGGCGTGTCCACCATGCGCTCGTCATTCAAAGGGAGCGGGTCCCGCAATGGAAATATAGACTTCTAGGGTATCGTGAAGGGTTGATTTGGGACAAGGAGTGTTGCAAACTATTGATGCATCCTGGGTTCACTCTTGGCCTCCTCCTCCCTCTCCTCTTTCCTCCTCCTTCCTCTTCCTCCACCGCGCTCCTCTCCCACCTCCTCATCCAACTCCTCCTCCTCCAGCCTCTTCCTCCTCCTCCTCTTCCTCCCTCCTCCTCCTCCCTCCTCCTCCTCCTCCTCCCTGTTCTCCTCCACCATCCCTTTCCTTACGACGAAAAACTCCCCCACCCCTGTCGCATCACCAGACGTGTGCGCAGGCCAGGCTGGGCGTTTCGTTGGAGACTGCCTGACAGTGTACTTACTACATCCTGCAGCGAAAAAGCTCCAGCAGCTGTGGATGACGTGGACGGGCGGCTGGTGGTTTTCAACACGCGGCTCTTATCTGACCGTGGCGCACATGCATCTGAAAGCTTCGAGCCGATATACAGATGGAGGGCTGGTCGTACACTGGGGCTCTCGCTTCACGTCCGCAACTTGTACGGCCAAAACTCTGATGTGAGGCCATACGCGCACGGGTAAAGGCTAGAGCCGTTTTTTGTTTGAAGACGGCTGTCTTTGAGCTGTATCATCCTGCCTCTTGCACTTACCTTGGCTGCAGGGATGGAGGGTTGATCCTTTTCAAAGCGGGGACTCGCATGATTGACAGGCCCTCGCGCTCGTCGTGCAAAGGGGGCAGCGTCCCGTGGGGGAAAGAAATGCCAGTCGGGAATTATGAGGGGGTGACCTTGGACGGGAGGGTGTATTGTAGTAGCTTGACGCGTCGTGGGTTTACTCTGGTCCTCCTCCTCCTCCTCCTCCTCCTCCTCCTCATCCTCCCTCCCCTCCTGTTGTCTCCGGTGCCTTCCGTTATCGCTGGCAGAGCCAACAAGGAAGCTGCGAAAAACAATGCTGGGGGCTGATTCGGTTGTAGCCGCCGCCTTCTTGGACCTACCATTCGAGCGGGACCTATCGCCCGAAATGGGCACTCGTGATTGGGCCGATTCTGCTCGTCAGCGTTGTGAGAGAACCCTCTGCGCGGCAGATGCGCGGACTTCTCCCTCTTCTCCTCGTCGTCCTCCTCCTCCTATTCCTCCTCCTCCTCCTCCTCCTCTTCCTCCTCCTCCCTCTCGTTCCTGCTCCCTCTTTCTGGAAGATTGATAGAACGCCCAGTAGCAAAACTTCATTCAGTCAAAGTTGCCAGGGACACTCCACGTGCACACGGCACCGCATTGCGAGTGGACACCAGCAAGGTAGCCAATCGACGTCGGACCATTTCCGAAGGTATCTGCCGAAACGCACGCAGATTAGCGAAACCCACTGGGAACTGCACCGGCGCACTCGAATGCCAATATCGAGGGAACCGGTGCAGATGTCCTCAGACGAGTTGTCAGGGTGGGCGTTCTCTCAATGCCCGCCTGTGTGTGCTCCTTCGTCGTCCTCCTCCTCCTCCTCCTCCTCCTCCTCCTCCTCTCGGCGGCGAGCCCCGTGGGAAAGTGAGAAGGGGCGGGCCTTCTGAGAAGTTTCCTAAGACTTCCCCGAAGGCACAGGGAACTTCTCAGAAGGCGCGAGGGCTTCTGAGAAGTCCCGCCGCCTTCTGAGAAGGTCTGCTCCTCCCCCCCTCGCTCGCCGCCGATCCCAATCCCTGCTTCCTCCTCCTGAGTTTCCTCCCAAGGGGGAGATCTTTCCTGACAGAGGCGCGTCTTCGTCAGGTCCGGCATCGGGTGCAGCTCGCCTCGCAGACCGCGGAAGAAGGATGGAGGAGGAGGGAGGAAGATGGGACGGAGGAGGAGCGACCCAGCCCTCTCCTAAGACGGAGCCAGGACGAGGACAAATTCGAGGGGGGATAAATCAAAGATCTCCGAGATCGGGCGCCTCTGGAAGATGTCTCGGGCGCCGCGGGCTTTTCAGAGCGTCCCCGAACGCTCTGAGAGCGTTCCAGAACGCTCTGGAACGGATCTATAGTCCTAGCCCCGTCCGACTCTCCTCACTGCGCAAGTATCACGACGGAACATTGTGCGTACTGTTCGGCCTCCCCAGATCACTGGATACCGTCTTTGTCGGTGCGATCGGTCGCAGCCGATCGGCACTCCAAATCGGTCACGATCGATCACGCCAAAATCGGGCGCGCGACCGATTTTGAAGCAAACATGTCGCCACCGATCCAGGAATCTGAGGCAACATCAGCAGCGACCCGATCTTGTCGGCCGCGGCCCGAAAACTCTGGCATCCGACGATCAGGGTAGGGGGGCCATTGCCAGATCCTGGGCCTGAAAGGCACGGTTCCTGAGGGGGCCTTGAGATCTTCATCCCGAGTCGTGTTCTCACACGCCTGGAGCCCCTGAAGGCCCCGAGAGACCGAAAACGGAGAAAAACGCAGGACCCAATTCCCTCAAGACCTGATTCCCCCATCGCGAAGATCCAGGGCCACGGGAGGGGCCCTGTGAAGCCCCAAAGCAACGGCAAACCTCAGCACCAACTCCCTGCACGACCCGTGTCAATACGTCCCCGAACGAATATAATTCCAGTGATTTGGTCAGCTTACCGCTCCCAAAACGGTGCGGTGACAGACCGTGCGCGTTGGCCTCGGGATCATAAGATACCCGATCGCACGGTCCGCCACCGCACGCTTTTGGGACATCGGAGGCCCCAAGCGCCCGACATGTCCTTGGAAACCGATCCGAGTCCCAAAACCGTACGGCCGCCCCGAATCCACACGAACCCTCCACACCGTGTGGTCCTCGCACCGGTTGGGGACCCGGGACCTTGCCTGACCCCCAGCAGCAGGCGCAGGAGTAGCCAGCATCGAATCGGGAGATCAGCTCGGATCGGAATACGCGTCGGATGGGGCTGCATCGGCACGGAGTCGCGTTCGAATCGAATCGGCCACGCCAACATGAACAACCGCGCCGTGCAAACGTCGATGCCGAATCGCACCGTCGGCATCTCGGACTCGAAGCGGATCGAGCCGATATGGCCAGAATCGATGCTGAATCGGATCGATCGTATCGAAGTGGAACCCTGCAGGCGCAGGAGGAAGCCGGTGAGGCACGGGCTGCGCGGCGCCGCGCAGCGGCATTGCTCGTGCGGGCGCGCGAGCCCTACGGCCGCGCGCCCGGGCGGCTCGGACGGACCGGGCGCCCGGCTCACAGGAAGGTCGAGAAGAAGATGAGCCTCTTTGGGGCGCCGGCTGGCGGCGAGCCCAGGGGGGAAGCGAGGGGGGTCAGACCTCCTCGGAAGGCTGCGACGAGGCTTCTCACAGACCCTCCGGCTCCTTCTGAGGAGCCGCCTCTGCCTTCAGAGCAGGCTTGGACGACCTCCCGGAAGGCCGGAGGCCTTGCGAGCCCTGTGAGCAGGTCCGCCACCTCTGCCGTCCCAGACACGATCGCGCGTGTTTTTTCTCTATTATTATTTATTATTTATTATTAGTATTATTATTATTATTATTATTATTATTATTAGTATTATTATTATTATTATTATCTTTTTATTCAACAAAAAAACATCAGGACGGACATTTTTGGCCAATGTTCGGCCTCGGGGGGGCCCTCGGCGGGCCTCGGGGCCGTCGAACAACGAACTCGGGCTGAAACACGAGTCCAGGGGAAAGGATCGGCACTTCAAGGGACCCCGCATTGAAAACATCAGGGCGTCGCACGTGTGGCTTCCCCCCTGGGCTCGCCGCCGAGGCTGTCCACCTGCGCCAGCCATGGCCAGGCCGACGCTCAGCCCAGGATCGGTGGTCACGCCCTCCTGCCTCGGTCAGCAAGGGAGGCCTTGCACTGATCCTGGGCCCCAGCTGCGGGGGCAGATGCCGGGATCCTGCCATGGCGAACTCTGCGTCGCTGCCTGACACTGTGTGGTCATGCTCCTGCTGCTCCTCTTCCTTCTGCTGCTGCTCCTCCACCTCCTCCTCCTCCTCCTCCTCCTCCTCCTCCTCTTCCTGATCCTCCTCCTCCTCCTCCTCCTCCTGATCCTCCTCATCCTCCTCCTCCTGATCCTCCTCCTCCTCCCCCTCCTCCTCCTCCTCCTCCTCCTCCTCCTCCTCCTCCTCCTCCTCCTCCTCCTCTCCTCCTCATCCTCCTCCTCCTTCCTCCTCCTCCTTCTCCTCCTCCTCCTCCTCCTCCTCCTGCTCCACCTCCTCCTCCTCCCCCCCTTCCACCTCCCCCTCCCCCTCCTCCCTCCTCCTCCTCCTCCTCTCCTCCTCCTCCTCCTCCTCTCCCCATCCCCTTCCCCCTCCTCCCCTTCCCCCTCCCCCCCCCCTCCTCCAGCGAACGATCGCGGCGCCTCGACGGCGCAAAAGCCGTTCGATGCCTCTCGACTGCGGGCGACTGGCGGCGTTCCACCTGGAACGCCCGCGGCGGCGTCGCCACCGCGTCGACGCGACTCTCGGCGGCGAGCCAGGGGGGAGAACTGAGAAGGGGCGGGCCGTCTCCGAAGGTTCGGAAGCCCCCCCGCCTTCCGAGGAAGTTCCGGAGCCTTCCCCGAAGACGCGAGCAAAAACATCTCGGAGGGCTGGAGGCCTGCTGAGAAGTCCAGCCGCCTTCTAAGAAGGCCTTCTCCCCCTCTTTTCCCCCCCTCGCTCGCTCGCCGCCGAGACTCCGGGGAAGCAAGACGATAACCGACACCGCCGATATCCAATCAGACCTCGCCTGCGGTGCGTTCAGACCGTGGTCTTCGAGAAAGAAACCTGGCCGTGGCGGCGAGGGCGCCCCCCCCCCCCCCCACCAGGAAGGCCCGAGAAGGCGCAGACGACGGAAACTTCGCGGTGTCGGTCCTTGCCATCGCTGGGACGTCTTCACGCAATGTTCGGTTTCGCGCGTGTCTTCTTCGAAGGGTGATCTGGGATGCTCCTCGATGGCCCTCGCCCAGAAGAAAAGTGCACACGTCCGAGCGATGCAAAGGGCCTGTCCTCTCCTGGAAATCGATGCAGCCGTGCAGTCGGCGCCCCCCAAGGCCTCTCCATCACCTTCGACGGCTGCTCGTCCGACTCCTCCTGGGAACAAGAAGTCAGAAGGGACAACTCGGCACAGACACAGCAAAACATGGATGTTCATGACAAGATTGGCGCAGGCGTTGATGAAACTCCGGGAAATAATGACAATCCGTTGACCCAGTCGGCGTGTGTGAGGGGCTTGTCTGCTCGAGTCGTCGTCTCCGCCAGTCGCCATCTCCGTCGGAAAAGCCTAGCAATAACGTAATCGAATCGAAGGGAAGCCCCTTCCCGATGATCCCTTCCCCGCGGGGGGGGGGGTCCGAGAGGGTCTTGCGGCGGGTCCCGGATCGCCACCCAGATACGCTCTCCCCTCCGGGGGGGGGGTCAGATACGCATCCCCCCCGAGGGCCCCCGGGCCGCCAACGTTACAAAAGAAGGCAGGCCGAGAGTGCACCCAAGAGGCCCCCGGCACGGTCCAAAGGAGGCCCCCAATCGCCAAACGATCGGTCCAGAACGCCTTTACGCTCTCCAGACTGCCCAGGAGACCTCCACGAGGCCCCAAGAGGCCTCCAAGAGCACTCCCGAGAGGGCCCCAAGAAGCAACATGGATTGATTTGATGTAGGTTTTTGAAACATTTGAGCGTTCTCGCCTTTTCCGCTCCCCGCCGCTTTCAGGACGGCCCAAAAGGCCCGCAATGTCGCCCCAAGACGGCCCAAGAGGCTTCCAAGAGGCTTCTAAGAGCGCTCCTGAACAGCCTAAGGGGACCCCAAAACAGCCCAAAACGCCTCCAAGACGGCCCAAGAGGCCCACACGACAGCTCCAAGAGGGTGCCTAGACGGGCAACCCGAACGGACATTTCGAGCCATCGGCCCCAAGAAGCTCCCAGGAGGCCCCAAGAGGTTCCCAAGACGCCCCAAGAGGCCCACAAGAGGCCCCCAGGAAGGCGGAAGAGGCCCCCCCCCAAGAGTCTTCCAAGAGGCCCCCCAGAGGCTCCCACGAGACCCCCAAATTCCACCCCAGAGGCCCCCGATAGCTTTCCCAAGAGACCCCAAGAAACATCCCTGAGGACTCTCGCCCACGTCAGCGTCGTCGTCGCCGCCGCCGTCGGTGTCATCCGCCAGTCCCCCTTCAGGGTCGGCGGCACCGGCCGTAAGGCCTTCGCAATATGGAAAGTCATTGGCCTTGTGCTTATTTGCGTCTGTCCCCCCTACCACCACCGAGAGCAGCCAGGGATGGTCCGACTTGTGGAATGGCTCCCATTCCGCGGCGTCCCGCTCGAGCCATCTCCAACCTCCACATGGGGGAGGCATCGTGGACCTCTCACGAACGGCTGACAGCATACACACACATATATACATCTATATATATATATATAACAAATCCCGTATGTATAAACCATATATATACATACATGTATACATACATACATACATACATACATACATACATACATACATACATACATACATACATTCATGCATGCATACATACATACATCATGCATGCATGCATGCATGCATGCATGCATGCATACATACATACATACATACAGACAGACATCCATACATACATGCATGCATACATACATACATACATGCATACATACATACATACATACATACATGTACGCATGCATGCATGCATGCATGCATGCATGTATGCATACATACATACATACAGACATCCATACATACATACATGCATGCATACAAACATACATACATACACAAATACGTATATACATACACACATACATACATACATACATACATACATACATACATACATGCATGCATGCATGCATACATACATATATACATACACACATACATACATACATACATACATACATACATGCATGCATGCATGCATGCATACATACATACATACATGCATGCATACATACACACATACATATATACACACAGCAATATATATATATATGTATATGTATATATATATATATAGATGGCTATATCTATATATACATGTCGATATACATCGACACGCGTATCCATATCCGCACCGTCGCTGTCTGGATTCCGGGGCGCGATCCCGCGGATGCGCGGATACGCGCGGGGCATCCGCGAACACACGCCCCGTGGCCCAGTGCCCGACCCGCGGGGCCGCGGATACGGACACGTCTTCGCCCACGAACCTCCTGCTTGCTGGAGGGGGCCTGCTGATGGTTTGCGGTGTCGCCCCTCCTCCCTCCCCAAACATCCGACCGCGTGTTTTGCTCAAGCCGCCGCCCTGTGGAGCTTCCGACCCGCCCCCCGGAGGGTAGCGTGTCGTCTCGGCTCCACGTTTGACGGTCGTGGGGCCCCATAGCGGGCCTCCGCAGGCCGACATACCAGCCGATTTCAAGTAGACCAAATTCTCACAAGCTTGCTTATATGAAGGGGGGGAGGGGCTCCCAGGCTTGACCCGAAAGGAGAACTGGGGGTGACGAACCCTGGGAGGAAAGTATCAATGCCGCCGGCGTTATCCGTAGCACTCAAAATAATCAACTAATTCCCGAGGGTGTAGAATAACCGAGCGAGATCTTTCGCACCACGAGCAGTTAATCAAGTGAGGGCGGTGGGAGTAAGAGGAGTAAGACAGCCCAGAAGAGGCCCCAAGACGGCCACTTCGGAGGCAAGAGACCCCACCGACAATCTGTTGGAATCTTGTTGGGATCCCGCACTGAAGGGCCTGGTTGGAATCGTATTAGGATCTCGGTGGCATCCCGCACCGAGGGGTCCAGGGTCCAGGGGCGGGATCGCGCTGCCAGGGGCGAGAAGCGATACAGTTCCCCCGAAGGGGGGGGGGTGATCTGATAATTGCCTCCTTTGTTTTGCCCCAGCACTACACGGAGAGGCAGCGAGGGGGAGGGAGGGAGCAAAGTAGCATGCAGGTCACCAGACTTGCCAGAAGCCTGGTCAACAAAAACGGGCCTCTTGAGGCAATAACGCTGCGGCTGAAAAGACCGAAGGGGAACGATCGGGGGGGGGTGACGGGATCAGGGGGCGGGACATCGACCTTGAATCGGCGGCACGTCGCCGACAGATCGGCGACAGGCCCCCGATAGCGGAGCCGCACGCTCCTGGCGGAGGTGGGCTACCGGGCGGCTCCCTCGCGATCCGCCGGCGACTGGGGGCCGACGCCTTCCCCCCGAGACCGTCCCACCCTGTCGCTGCCTCCGGCTCCTCCTCGTCGTCGCTGGCGGCGGAGAAGTCCCCGCCGACGCAAGAGGTCAGGAGTGCCCCGAGCACGAAGCTGACGATGGACCGCATGTCCTTCCACACCTCCGGAGGCCTCCCAAATGGAGCCCGAACCAATGGAGTCGATTGATCGCGCTTGACCGCCGATGCACAGGCGCCGTCGGCGCGAAGAGAACTGGGCGCCGCAGCGAACCGCATCGGCGGTGCGGCGCGATCTTCCGACCCCATCTGCCCAGAGATCGGATGCCGTGATTTCTTCAGCACGGGGCCCAGACAGTGGGGACCCATGCCAAGAAACACCCTGCTCGCCTCCAGGATGCCCTGGGTTTCTTTGGTTTCGATGGTTTTGCTATGGCAAGCGTGACGTTCCCACACCAAACATAAATGGATGTCCTGGGGTCTCAGGGTTGGGTTTCTTGTGGAAGGTTTCTTGTGGTCGGGCCCCGCCCAGGAGTCCCAGTCCTTTCCCTAAGGCCGGCTCTCCATTCTGGGGCATCTTGTGGCGGTCCCAGGGCCCACAGCGAGGGCCCCCCGTAGAGGCCGAGACCCGAGGAACACCTCCGCCTAGCTATTTTTTTCAAGACGCTGGATGCCCCGAAATCCGACGAAATGCGTTGTCTCCATCCGCGGCCCCACAAGGTCCAAGGGAGTCGTGTTCGTCCCGATCAATGGTTGATGGCCCCGGGCCTCGACAGCGGGCCCCAGAGGCCGAAATCACCGAAAAACAGAGAGGTGGCACGAATATCACATAGACACATGTGTATATATATATATATATATATATACAAGTCTATATGTATACATACCTACACATGTATGTTTGGATGCATACATGCATGTGCGTATGGACGCATGCATGAATGTATGCATGTGCATGCATGTGTGTACACGTGCACACATGTCTATGCGTTTGTTTGTATGTATGGAATTACGTGTGTAGATGTGCTTGCGGTTGTGTGTATGTGTATGTAGGTGTGTATGTATGCATGCACGTATGCAACTGTGTATGTCTGCACGTATGTATGTATGTACGTGTGCATGTATGTATGTGTATATATATATATAGATATACATGCATACATGGTTGTGTGTAGTTATGTTTACATGCACATCTGTATGTATGCGTGTACGTATGTATGTATACATGTACGTATGCATGTGTATGATTGTATATGTATGTATGTGTGCATGTAACATGCATGTATGTATATAGGTATGTGTGTATGTGTGTATGCATGCATGTATGTATGTGTGCATGTGTGTGCATGTGCGTATGTATGTTTGTATACATGCAGGTGTTTATGTATGCGTGTATGTATGTGTGTATGTTTGTAGGTATGCAAATGTAGGTATGTGTGTATGTATGTATGTATGCATGCATGCATGTATGTATGCATGCCTGTAGGTATGCACGTGTGTGCATACGCATGCATGCATGTATGTATGTATGTATATAGGTCGGTAGGTCTGTATGTATATAGGCATGCTTGCCTGCATGTATGCATGTATGGATGTGTGTTTGTACGTACGTATGTATGCATGCACGAGTGTATGGGTGTACATATATATATATATATATATACACAGATATGTGTATATGTATGTGTGTGAATCGTTAAAAATCTGGGTAATCTGGGTGTCTGGTCACTGGGGATCCATATTTGCGCGGTCTGGAGCCTCGCGCGCCGAGTATCCGCCGGTGCTGGCCGCGGGATCCTCCAGGGCGGGGGCCCGCTGCGAGAACGCCGCCAGGCCCGCGGCGCTGAGGACGGGAGCCCCAGTGGCGGCACCGGCACTCCTCCTCCTCCTCCTCCTACTCCTCCTCCTCCTGCTTCCTCCTTCCTCTCCTCCTTCTCCTCCTCCTCCTCCTCTTCCTCTTCCTCTTCCTCTTCCTTCTCCTCCTCCTCCTCCTCCTTCTCCTTCTCCTCCTCCTCCTCCCTCCTCCTCCTCCCTCCTCCTCCTCATCCACCTTCTCCTCTTCCTTCTCCCTCCTTCCTCCTCCTCCTGCTCCTCCTCCTCCTCCTCCTTCCTCCTCCTCCTCCTTCTCCCTCCTTCCTCCTCTCCCTCCCCGTCAGGCCCCCTCCTCAAAGGACGCCCGGGCGGCCGCTCGGATCTCTCGGGGTCGGCGCCAGAACTTCTGGATCTCCGTGTGGATTCTGCTTGGATCGGCGTTGGACACCCGTCGCTATGGGCGGCGCCGGAGGCGCCGCCGAGGGGGTTCAGCGCCGATCAAGGAGGTTCGCGCGGAACTCCGAGAGGATGTGTTTATGTAAGGCTGGTTCGTGTCGTGACTACCCCAGCATTGGCTTTGGTTTCTGACACCGCGCGGATCGTTCAAGCTTGAACGATCGGCGTTTTTTCGATCGCCAGATCATTCCATGGCCAAATCTGGGCCACTGGCGGCGTTCAGCCTTGGATGAACGCGGCGGGATCGCCGCCGCTTCGACACGACACGAACCTACGGAAATACATATTAGCCAGCGTGGACCCCCTACAGTGTGTTTCTAGCAATATAGATGTTCAGTAGATGTGGAGCAATTTATGTAGTGCATTTCACTTTGACTGTCTTGAAGCTGTCCTCTCCACTGCTCATGCAAACATCCCACCCTCCCACCCGCAACTTGGTCGCAAGCCCTCTTAAGACCGAGACGGTAGGTACCAAATGGCACTTGGTAACGACACCGACGCCGACAGCGACAACGACGACGACGGCGCCGCCGACACCGACTACGACAACACCGACGACGTCTCCGACGACTTCGACGACGACGACGACGACGCCGACGAGGACGACGACGACGACGACAACGCCGACGCCGACGACGACGACGCCGACGCCGACGACGACGACGACGCCGCAAACGAAGACGACGACGAGGCATGAGGGAGGACGACGACGGCGACAACGACGACAACGACGAGGGAGGAGGGAGGACGGCGACGACGCGAACTACGAAAAAGGAGGGAGGACAGCGACGCCAACGACGACAACGACGAGCGAGGAGGGAAGACGACGACGACGACGACGACGACGACGGCGACGAAATAGGAGGGACGACGACGTGACGCCGACGACGGACGACGACGTCGAGGGAAGAAGGACGACCACGGCGACAACGACGACGGAAACGACGACGACGACAGGACGACGACGACGAGGAAAGACAGAGGACGACGACGGCGACGACGACGACGAGGGAGGAGGGAAGACGGCGACGACGACGACGACGCAAGAGCGCGCGCGCACGCTTTTGTTAAACGTTCGCGTTGCAAAAACATGTGTTTTGGTATGTTTGTTGGACACACGGTTTTGAAATCCTTCCGGCACCGAACGTTTTTGAAGGATTTCGATATACCCGCGGGACGACGCGCATGTCTACACTTCGTCCCATTTTGCTGAGGAATCCCGCGACCGCACGCGCGCAAGGGCGTTCGAAAGATTTCGAGATGCGCGCGCGCGAAGCCCGTGTGGTAGCATGTTTTGAAAATCTTGAAAAACCAATGGTTTTCTTAAGATTTCATTTCGCAAGAGCGCGCGTAAGCTTTTGTAGAACGTCAGTGTTGCGAAACCCTGCGTTTGTTCATGTTTTGGGGAACTCGATTTTGAATTCATTCCGAAACCCAAGGCTTTTGAAGGATTTCGGCATGCGCGCGCGACGACGCGCGCGTGTGCACTTCGTCCCATTTTTTATGCAAGGGATTCTTGAAAACTTATGATTTTTGATGAACGAGAGTGTGCGCATATGATTTGTTGCAGAGGATGGCGGGGGGAGTGATACCAGTTTGGCTGGGATAATACGAATTCATATTCCGGGTGGACGATGGGGCAGAATCACATTCAAATCGCAATGCGAAAAGGTGGATCATTAATTCCCGGGGGGGTAGACTCTATTCTTTCTCAGAAAGGAGAATATATTTGATGTAAACTATGTTGCGCGATATCGATGGAACAACCTTTGTTGCGCGATATCGATGGAACAACCTTCGTGGTGCAATCTATGCGGTGTAAAGCATGTTGTGCTATGTCCCTATTCATATATTTAGAAAAAGGGGCTGGGGACCCCTGAAAAAGCGCCCCCCTCCCCGGCCTGATGAATTTGACCCAACCCTGGGCCTCTTGGGCAACCCTCCAGACGACCAGGGAGAACCCCACGAGAGCCCGAAGGCGGCCCCAGAGGGCTCCAAGCGTTCCGGCGCGCTCCCGAAACAACCTCAAAAAGCCCCGAGACGAACCACGACGACCCAAAAGAAGCCGTCATACCCCCAAGATGGCTCCAAAACGTCCCAAGAGGCCTCCAAGAGCACTACCAAGAAGGCCTCAAGAGGCAAAATTCTTTGATTTGTATTGGTTTTTGGTGATTTTGGGGGTTCTCCTCTTTTCGGCTTCCCGACGCTCCAAGACGGCGGTCCTCTGGGCGTCCGAAGCCGCCTGGGAGTCTCGAGAATCGCCCAACAACCATCCGAAATGGCTGCCAGGCAGTCCAAGAGAGCCCCAGAACGGCACAGCATGGTTACAAGATGGCCCAAGAGAGCCCCATGACGGCCCCAAATGGCACCAAGACGCCCTCCGAAGAATTCCAAATCGTGACCCGGTCGTTCAGGGAGACCGCGGTTGGAGGCAGGGTGGCCCGAGGAAGCCCCCTGAGGCCCCTAGAAAATGCCCAGGAGGCCTCCACGAGGCCTAAAGAAAGCATGATTTGTGAGACCCTCAGAAGCTCTCCATGGAGGAGCCTCCGCAAAAAGAGCTGAGGAGGATGGGGAGAATACGCAGGGTATGTCGAGAAAGAGGGAACATACATATAGAGGAAATGTAACGAATAACATTACTATAACGGCGATACTGGGAAAAGGCAACAAGGAGCTATCGCTAAATGGTCGGCTTGAACTTCCCGCCATTCCCCCTGCATGCCACACTTCAAGGACCAAAGTGCACGGCGCGAAGCGCCAATGCAGTCTTGTATATCTATAGATACATACATATGTTCCAATATCTAGCGTGCAACCGATGCGTCGCAATATATGGTGTCTTGTTTCTGTTGTGCAATATCTGCTCTGCACCCTATGTGGTGCAAGATATGAGACGCAACCTATGTGCTGAAAGCTATGGTGCGTATTCTATGATGAGCAATACAGGTGGTGCAATCGATGCCGTACACTAAAAGTTGTACAGTGTATGTGGAACAACCTATGTGGTGCAACCTGTGCGTTGCAAGAGATGCTATGCAAGATGTGTGGACCCACCGATGTGGTGCAAATTGTGTTGGGGAATATAGGTTGTGCAACCGATGTTGTGAAATATAGGTTTTGCAACCTCTGTTGTGAAACATCTATAACACAATATTGGCTGGGCAATCTGCGTGTGGCAGTACAGGTGGTACAACATGTGGTGCTATCTACGTCGGGCGGTATATGTTATGCAATGTATATATGGTACAATCTAGATTATGATCTATTTGGTGCATTCAATAGCGTGCAACGGATATATATATATATATACACAAACATACACACATGTAAATCTAGCACAAGCTATGTCGAGCAATATGCGTTGTGCAAAATGTGGTGCAATACAGGTTGTGCAGTATATGGCGTGTAACCTACGTGGCGCTAATCAATTGGCAACGACGAGGCTGCGACGGGGCGGCGACGGCGACAACATATCCGCCAAACCGCAACACAGGCCCAGACGACGAGCGGCGACGGGGCGGCGACGGCGACTACATCGCCGCCAGGCGGCCAAGCCCTCCTGGTTCCTTCGAAAAGCAGCGTGATCCCCTAAGTGCAAGCACCATTTAGGTCATTTTCTCCTTCGACGCGCTCTGCGCGCCAGCAGAGGCCGTCGGGGAGGCGCCCCGACATCCGACGACGGCTGAGCTCTGCTTTCCCCGATCCGCGCCCCCGAGCCTCTCCACCACCTGTGGGAGAAGGGAACACACCACCACCTGTAAAGGGCAGAAACTCCACCCCGATCATGATCATCCCGACATGCGAAGCCGTCTAGTCAACGCGTTCACAAAAGGAATCGAACAGGGCAGGGCTGTTCGGTAAACGCCCAGGGCCGTTTAGCAGACGCCAATTATCGGGTCGGTGTGGCTTTCCCTCCCTTGTACCTGGAGGATGGGGGCAGAAGGCCGATGATCCTCAGGACGTGTGTTAGCGCCATCGTGTGCCTGTCCACCGAGGCCCTTACATAAGACGTCGGCGGCGCAACGAAGGCTAACACGAGCCGCGCGCTGTGGGCGGAACCGACTGGGGTAAAGACCCGCTTGGGCTAAGATACGTCCTGAGGATCATCGACGAGGGTGATCAGGGGTGGAGGTGGTATATCGTTTCGGGCGCTCTCGCGGGACATCCAGAATTTTCTGGTCGCGACCGGCGAGATCGTTCACTACCGATTTTGCCTCAGATTCGGGGATCGGTCGCGACCGAGACGCGTCGAAAGCGGTCGCGACCGAATTTGGACTCGGTCGCGATCGGTCGCGACCGTTCTGAAATGTCGATCGGTCGCTACTGGTCGCGACCGAACCAATCCGGTGTATCCAACGATCTGCGTCCCTGGGGCCCATTTGCCCACACCGGTTCTGTTGGGGCGGGTCACGGCCCCCGTAGGCCGGAAGCAAAGGAAGTTGCCGCGACTGAATGAGCATGTCCTCGGAGGCTTGCCGAGGCCCAGCGCCGACCCGAGAACTACGCTCGGGAGCGGCCAAGAGGGGGGTGTCCAAGAGGGGGGGGGTGCAAATCATGACCGGCGGCATGTGCGCGGCCCAGCGGGGGCGCCAGGGACGTAAGGAAATAAGAAGAGGCGTCATGAAATCTGCGGAGATATCATGGCCCGCGCCATGATATCCACCCCCCCCTAGTCATCACCCCCCTCTTTTCCGCCCCCGATACGCGCGGGCCCCCCGAGCAGTCTGTGCCGACGTCGCCTCGTGGCCTCCCGGAGGAGGCACAGCACCGCTGCTGCGAGCCCGACGGCGACCATGCCGCGGAGCACCGCGCTGCCGAGCGAGGTCCCCGGGCCACGCCGCGGGCCGGCGCCCGGGTCGTGGGCGGAGGCCGTCGGGCCAGAGGCCCGGTGATGTCCAGGCCATGCCAGAGAGGATGGCCACCACTGGCCTCCTCCTCCTCCTCCTCCTCCTCCTCCAGACCCGTGCGTTGTAAGCCATCTTGCTGAAAGAAATGCAGCGGAGCCCAGTCAACCAGAAACCGTCCACAAGAAGCCCAACCCTGAGACCCGGGGACGTCCATTGGTTTTTGGTGTGGTGACGTCACGCCTCCCACAGCAAAACCCTCGAAACCTAAGAACAACTCAGGGCACCCTGGAGGCAAGCAGGGTGGTTCTTGGCATGGGCCCCCAATGTAAGACATCTTGCTGTAAGAAATAAAGTGGCACATTTGGCGTCGAGCTCGGAGCGTCCTGATGTGGGCCCTGGCAACTGTGGGCCCCCCGGGGAATCGGAGCACAAGCAACTTCCGTGGAGCTCGCACTTGATCTGCCTACAGTAGGTTTCGGTGGCAACTCATGGGAGCTTCCCGTACCATCTTGTCGGCTCTTGCGAATCGACGCTGATCGACGCTAGTCAACGATAATCGACGCTAGTCGACGCTGGCCGACGCTAAATCGACGCTAATCGACGCGGGCCGACGCTGGATCGGCGCTACCTCATCGACTCCCAGGCGCTTCTCGACGTCAGTCGACGCCAAAGACGGAATGGAGAGGGTACACCAGGCTCCCATGATTCGCTACCGAAGTAGGTGGGTTGTCGCATCCTCGAGGAGGAGGGCTCCCCGGGACCCGCAGAGCCCTCCCGAGGGACAGCCCAGAACGCCGAAGATCGTCACGCAAGGGCCCGCCTCGGCCATCGAATCCTCGGGGGCTGGCGGCCCCCCTTCGTGGTGGCCTCCCTTGGCATTGCCCGGTGATGTGTAGACTGGGCGAGAGCCGGGGCCATGGCGGCCAGGTCTCAGCCGAGGAAGGCCTGAGTTTCTCTGTGTCGGAGCTTGTCACTCTGCATCCTTGGGCCAGGGTGGCAGCGGCCAGGATGAGGGGCAGGAGGAGGAACGGGCGGGGAGCAGGGGTGGATGGAAGAGGGCAAAAAGAGGATCAGGGACGGAAGATTGATCAAGGCGAGCAGGTTAGCGTGGGCGAGCAGGCCACCGTGGGCTGTGCAAATTCCATCTGAAGAGAAAAAAACATTAGTGAGAAGCTCCATGCACGAGACATCGAGGACGGAAGACGGAAGAGGCAGGGAGCAGGAGGGATAGGAGGAGCGAGAATCATGGAGAGGAGGGATGGCGTCGCACACCTCTGGAGCGGGCCTCTGTTGGATCTGATGAGATGCGCTGGAGCAGGAAAAGACAAAGAGAGAGAGAGAGAGAGTGATAACACAAAAAACAGAAAGAGAGAGAAAGATAACACACACACACACACTCACACACACTCACACACACACACAACAACAAAAACAAACACGAGGCGGAAGAGGGAAATCAATGAGGAGGGACGATGGGAGGATGGGAGAAGGACGACGGATGATACCGAGAGTCGGGAGGACGAGGAGGAGGGGAATGAGGACGAGGATGAGGATGATGGTGATGATGATGGTGATGAGGAGCAGGAGGACGTAGGACTTTGCACGTCAGAAAGCCGCCCAAACTGGGGAAGCATGAAGCCCCAGCCCTGAGGGCATCGCGGGGGAGGCGACACGCTCGGAGAGCGCCGAAGAGCTCACTCCCACCGCCCAACACTCTGACAAACCTCGTTCGCTCTGTGGTGGCCCAAAAATGCCGCCAATCCTCTCTGGATAGCTCCGTGCACAACCCGCGAGAATCAACTAGTTCTCAGTTCGCTTCGCGATGGCCTCACGGGGACGCAAATGGCTTCAATACAGGATCCGCTCATGGCCCCAAAGGCACAAATCGTCAAAGCCCGTACGAATGTCATATTTTCGCTACGTCTGGCTGCCAGCTGCACATCAAACACCTGCGACAAAGCCCAAGACCCCCCGGACACACCTAGACACCCTGATGAACCCTTTCCATAAGGACGAAATGGTCCACACACTCCTGACTCACCTCGACGATCGCTCTAAGACAGCATCAAAGCGACCTGCATCTCTCTCTAGACCGAGCGTGCTCCTTCGAACACGGCGCCCACACACCCTACGGAACGCCCAAATGACACCAAATACATTTCCGCAAGGAGGCTTCGATATAATTCCCACATCGCCCACAACAATGCCCCAAGAGTGCCCCAAGATCCCCGAATTACCCCGACCAGACGAAGAGAGAGAGCTCACCTGGAGAGCCACAAAGCGGTCCTGGAACGCGCCCACGACGCCCCACAAACATTAGAACGAAGGACAATACGTAGTCCAAACTTTTGCTGCTCGGCCACAGGGGAAGGCGGTGACACGCCCCAGGCGCATTCGATATCGCCACCTGGCCCGAAAGTAGAGTTGCGATGATGTCTCATGCGCCCCCCCTCAAAAGCGGCAGCCCGCAAGGGTTCTCCTCCACCTCATCCGTTCCTCCACCAAGTCCCCCTCCTTCCCCACTACTTATCTCTCCCGTGCTCGCCCTCCTCCGGCCTATCCTCCCCCAAGCGTCCGCTCGAGAAGCGTGTGAGCCAAGATCTAAGGCGAAGCGGAGCAAGCCTTCAACATCACCTGAATCTATATATATATATATATATATATATATACACACGTACATGCGTACTTATATATGTGTATGTAGATGTGTGTGCATATATATATATATATATACACACTCATCTACATTTACATGAGATGCGCCATTTACTGGGCGGGGTGTGGAATATCGGGCCCCAATATCCGATCTATCGGCGATTAGGGGTCGATGCGTACCCCCGTGAGCCTATCACCCCCCAACGTTGCCCCTGATCGTACTTCGAGGTCGTAACTGGAGGTGATTGAGCGTTCTTCGATCTTTCGGGCCCTCTGGGAGCGCTCTCGTCGCCACGCTGAGTCCGCCTCAAGAGATGGGTCAAGATGAATGGCCCTGGGCTTAGGTCGGGCATGTCCTCCTATAGGCGGGCTTTGTAAGACGAAACAACACAATAATCAAAAAAACGAAATAGTCAAATGAGAACGGGAAATCGTCACCATACTATGTTTTGGCTGTTTTTGAATCGTCCACCTGTAGAGGGACATGCCCGACTCAACCCTAGGCAAATTGCGAGGGACCTCTGCATCGCGGCCGGCCGACCGCGGCATGCGATGCGAGACCAATGGCCTGCGTGCTGGGGGTTGCCCCCCCCCCCGCCCGCCCCCCCCCGAAAGCAGCGCGCCAAAGGAGGTCACTCCAGCGACAAGGTCACTCGGCCGCTGGGACCTGGCTCGGGCCCCCCGCGGTGGTCTGGGACGATTCGGGCACCCCAGGAGCGCTCCCAGCACGCTGTCGGGGGAGGCGCAGACGCTGGAATGTACTGTGCGCCGCAGCGCGGCAGAGGCAATCCGCACGCGCGTCTGGGCGAGACCGGGACACGGCGCCGCGAGTGAACCCGCATGCAAGAGGGGTGGAGGGAGGCGAGGGGGCGGCCGCGGAGATGCTGGAATGCATGCCATGGCAGGGACCCCGGAGGAGCTTGCGAACACGTCCGTGCACGAAGCCCTTTTTGGCGAAGGGCCACTCCTGCGTGCGGTCAAGAGGCCCAGGCCGCCGTCTGGAAAGGTCGGGATCTCTCTGCCGGCAGGCCGTGGCACCAAGGCCTGGGACCAAAAGCAAGATCAATGTCACGCCAGTCGGACGGCCCATCAGCGTGCCACCACTGATGGAGTACCAAGTGTTTGTGCCACGAGATTCTCGCTATACGTCTTCACCGCGCACAAATCCCAACCCGCCGCTGGCGGTGAAACGGCCCAACTACAGCCTGAGGCCTCGGCCTCGGCGAGGACTTCAGAAGGCTGCGCGTACCAGCCGTGCACTCCTGCACACGCCGGGCATAAAAAGGAGGGATGCCACGCACAGCTTGAATCACACGCAGAAGTGCGGACAGCTAAACCCGACCAGCGCCAATCATCGATTCTCCTGAATCTCTGGCAGGCATGGGTGGGGTCCGGATTTTGCCACGTAGTCGGCAGACTTCGAACCCTACCCCCGCCGCCGATCGAGCTGTCTGAATCGCTGATCGATGAGGGTACGGTTCGGACTTCGCCGCCGAACGCACAATACGAGAGTCGGCGCGCGTGGAAGCGGTTGAGTATGCCTTGGGGGCCAAGTCCAGAGGGTCGGGGCGCAGGGCGCTCGGAAGGCGTGCCGCTTTCGCGTTCCATCTGCCATGTCTGTTTTGGACTGACTGGCCGCCACCGGCGCCGCGCCGAGACAGCCAAAGCTGCACCGACGACCATTCGAGCAATCCGCGCGGAGCGCCAAAAATATATGCTTATGCCGTTTTTCCGTCGCCCCTAAATCACGAGGCACGAGTGGTTTGGGGGGCAGTGAAATTTGAGGAGTAGGATTATTGTCCACTCTTAGCCTTTTGGCCTCCTGGCCTCCTAGCTTCGTGCGGCGGGCTCATGGCCGGTAGCTTCCTATGGAGGCTGCGGAGTTGGAGGGGAAGTTCTTGCTCACGCCTGGCCCGTTCAGGGTGCGGTTTCCCTCTCTGCCCGTCTGTCCGTGTCCGTCCGTCTGTGTCCGTCTGTCGTTGGTCGTCGCGCGCACCATGGGGCCTTGTGGACTCTGCGTCAGCACGCGGACGCAGCAGGGCCTGCGGGGTCAGGGGGTGCGCGTGCGCATCGCTTCTCGTGGGGCTGCCGCTGCCGCGGTGCAGGCTGCTCTCGGGTTGGGTTGCTTTCCCCGCCCACCCGCTCCTGTCTGTACGCCCGTGCTCCTATGACGCCGTCTGCAGGCCTGGGTGGTGCACTCAGGTCGCAGACGGGGATAGGAGGCGGGAGGGTCTTCTGGTTTTTCCTTTTGCAGCGCCTCGCCTTCAGCGCCGCGTCACGTTGCGTGCTCTCG